TCAAACTCACTGACTTTGGGTAGAGAGGAACCCGGACGAGGCTCTTTCGAAGGGTAGAGTCTCGTTCCGGAAGGTAGACAGACCCGAACATGTTTAGACGGGTTCTGCGGATGACCCACGTTATATTCAGCCTTGTGCTACATCTACCCCCGTGGGTGGGCTATAAATATCAACAGTAGTATAGACTGAACGCTGGTCAACCGACACAAACTCCCAAGTCATTTAATAATCTTCTGTTCAATATGCTTTTTATCTGTAACATCTTTTTTGTTATTTCTTAACCATTTAATTGGTTACAACATAAAAATTATAGTGAGACAGGAAAATCCATGATAAATAAAATAGGGAGTTACTTTTCAATCACCCTACAGATTCTGTAACTTTTAGAAATTGCATTTTAACTCTTTATTCAAATAATTTAAATTCATTGTTCGTGATGCATTTTGTTGTTGATTAACATAACGCTTCGGCCGACGCATTCTACAGCCGCCTTCGCTGTGTCCTAACCACAGTGAATGAGAACGTTCTCTTTAATTTCTGATAAAAAATCCTTGGCGAACGCGTAGGAGAAACAATGGCTGGTATACCGAATGGCCGACATTATTCTTGGCACTTCAAATTGACTTCAACAGCTAACGCAATTTTTTTTAATCCATATCACGCCGAACATGTTTAAAAACACGTTTCCGTGATAATCTTTTAATTTTTTTTCTTTGCTGAAGCTATGATAAAATAAAGAACACAACAAATAAATCAATATATATATATATATATATATATATTAATTCCCGTTAAGACAGTTATGGCGAAAGAAAACCGTCGAAATATATGAAACAATATTTGACACTTCAAAGAATGATGCTATAAACTCGAGCCACAAATTGAATTGTAATTTTCTAACCGAATGATTTCGATGAATATAATAATTCTCCTTGCGAATGAGCGATGCGTGCAAAAGCTAACAGCTTGGAAAAACAAAGAACTCCCCTTCAATAATTGGTGAGCACTCTCCAGGAGGAAAGGAAAAGATAGACTGCGAAAGCTGTCATTTTCAATAAAGCGAATATCAGATTGTCTTATATATAAATACAATCATTACGTCCGTCAAACTGTAATGAGATTATTTATACATGGATGGGCACTTCTGCCAAGTATCGGTATATCACTTATAGGAACATCTGACTAGGTTCAGTGTGGTAGCTGGGAACTCAGTGAAAGGTGTACCCCAACAGGCCACTCATTCACGCGAACAAAACACACGAATATATATATATATATATATATTTGTGTGTGTGTGTGTGTAATTAAAAAGGAAGATGGCCCACGTGTGCCTCTTATCATATGTAGATTTAATAGGACTATTTATTAATTTTAAAGAATATACAGGCAACAATTGCCTGATTAAAGAATGCACATTACTCGTTTGGACTTGTACGAAGCTATATCTAATAGCTTTAGTTTCGTACCCGAAAGTAAAAAACAGTAACTTTCGAATGAATTTTTATTTGGTCCGACACTATTTCTTACAAATATAAACGTTTATCTATCTATCTATCTATCTATCTATCTATCTATCTATCTATCTATCTATCTATCTATCTCCTCCTTCCTCTCTCTCTCTCTCTCTCTATATATATATATATATATATATATATATATATGAAGAAATATAGTCTTATAATGTGCAATATTTATGGGATAAAGTGCTCGATATCAGAGAGAGGGCGTGTGTAAATATATATATATACATACATACATACATATATATATATATATATATATATATATATATATATATATATATATATATATATATTTGAATAAAATAAAGACCACGTTAAGATTCCATGTAATAAGCTATTTCACCATAACCCCTTTAACAGGGTTCTGGATCATCAGACTTTACTTCCAAAAAGCTGAAATGAAAAAATGAAAAGAAATTCACACGTTTCTTACGGACCTCATTAAGTATACGCAAAATTAACGAAGTGAGGAAGTGAGGTGGGAGAGAGGATATGAGTGTGTCATCTAGAGACGAGACGCGTTAAGTTTGAGCAACATCCAGCCGACACACTGGGGTAAAAATAGGAAACTAAAATGATACATATGACATAACTTTTTATGATAACTTTTTTTCTAATATTTCAAAAACCGTCTAATCAATTCACACAAAATTTTCACACAATGTTGGCAACACTCAACTGCGCAATCGCTGAAATTTCTGTACTCATCTGCGCAATGTAAACAAACTGGTGCCATACCCATATTTGTTATCAGCCCGGTGATTTAACCGTGCCAAATTATTAGAAAATAATTTGGCACGCAGTGTATATATATATATATATATATATATATATATATGTGTGTGTGTGTCTGTGTGTGTGAAAAGTGTATATAAATAAATATATATATGTATAATTATTTATATATTATATGCGCGGTACTTATTAGAAAGGAAAATTAATCAGTTTGTCTGACGATCGCTAAAGCATGAAATCCAGGGTCACAAACTCACATCTATCCAACCAAATATATATATATATATATATATATATATATATATATATACCGAGTTTAACAGCATAATTGTCCATATCACAAAATTTTTAATATTTAAACAAAATATAGACTAGGTTTTCAGATAAGAAGCTCAGCTATCTTCATACCTTTTGTCCTAAGAATCCATGAAGAACACTTTGAGTTATTCTGTTAAAAAGAGAACAGGTTAGAATCGTGTCTTACCAACTCAGCAATGGAGTCAGAAAAAAGGATCATTCCGGTACTAATATTCATACTCCGGTTTCCATCTTCAAAATCCATTCACGAACCATCAAGAGAACGGTGAATAAATTTTAAAAAGAGGGAACGGTAGAGAGGAAAACTTGATCAGGTCACAACAGCAAGAGGGATCATCATTTTAACTAAGAGACAAATACATTCTTATTGTTCAAAGTAGAGTCCAGTAGTGTTATAAAAGCCTCGAAAAATTCCAGTAAGTGATGAAAGTGATTTACCATTTCTAAGATAAAACAATACGTACGATTTACCCCAACTGAAATCACTCTTTACTCCAAGATGCTCTCCTCTGACGGAACGAGGTACTCGACTTCTCTCAAACTGAAGTCCTACTCGCCATGCCCAGACGAACTCTCGCCCCTCGAGACGCCGGGAAGTCACGTTCGCCACTTCCGCCCCTCGACTCAAGTTTTTGTTCACAATATCTGCCACAGTGTCTGTTTTATCGGACCGACAAAATAGCCTTAGTGTCTATTTTACTGGAAACAGCAAAATAGCCTTAGTGTCTATTTTACCGTACAGACAAAATAGCCTTTGTGTCTATTTTAGCGTACAGGCAAAATAGCCTTAGTGTCTATTTTACTGGAAACAGCAAAATAGCCTTTGTGGCTATTTTACCGTACAGGGAAAATAGACTTTGTGTCTATTTTAATGGGAACAGCAAAATAGCCTTTGTGGCTATTTTGCTGGAAACAGCAAAATAGCATTAGTATCTATTTTACTGGGAAAAGCAAAATAACCTTAGTGTCTA